CTTCACATCTTCTGTAATTTAACATTGTAAACTCTAGTATTGATCCCAAGTAGGTCCTTTCCACCACTGAGAGAGCTGATTCTGTATGGCCATTTATGAAAGAGTTATTTTTCTTTCTGTTCTATACTTGCTGCCTGTCTGCCTGCCTATGGACTGTTTTTAAAATGAGTCCCTAGATTCGTATATATTTTCTTTTTTTCTTTTTTTTTTTTTTTTTTTTTTTTTTGAGACAGAGTCTTGTTCTGTTGCCCAGGCTGGAGTGCAGTGGCATGATCTCAGCTCACTGCAACCCTCCACCTTCCGGTTCAAGTGATTCCCGTGTCTCAGCCTCCTGAGTAGCTGGGATTACAGGCGTTCAGCACCACACTCGGCTAATTTTTTTTCTATTTTTTGTAGAAACGGGATTTCACCGTGTTGCCCAGGCCAGTCTTGAACTCCTGGCCTCAGATGATCTGCCCACCTCAGCCTCCCAAAGTGCTGGAATTACAGGCATGAACCACCGCACCCAGCCCTGTTCATATATATATTCTAAACAGAGCCAGAGTTTTATGGCATCCTAAGGAAACCTAGCAGATAACATGTAGAATTATCTACTCTTTCTCTACTTCAAAGCTGTTGTGTTACTGGCAAATTAATCCTGAAAGTTTACAAAATTTCCTACTTTCTATGAGACCTCAAACACTTAAAACACAATTGAGTAAATTTTAGAGTAAGTAATGCAAAGAGGACAGCTGGAAATAATGAGATACAGTTAGTAAAAATTTAACTTAAGTAAAATTCTAAGTAAAATTTTAACTTATAGCAGAAATGGTATCCTAGTATCAGATATCGGCAAATGATTTTTTTTTCTTTCTTGACAGACTTGCTCTGTCACCCAGGCTGACATGCAGTGGTGCAGCCATAGCTCACTGGAGCCTTGAACTCCTGGGCTCAAGCAGTCCTCCCACCTCAGCCTCTCAAATAGCTGATAGGACTACAGGTGCATGTCGTTGCACTTGGCTAATTTATTTATTTAATGATTATTACTATTATTATTTTTGTAGATACAGTGTCTCCCAGTGTTGCCCAGGCTGACCTCGAACCCTGGCCTCAAGCGATCCTTCAGGTCTTTGCCTCCCAAAGCCCTGGAATTACAGGCATGAGTCACTATACCTGGCCTGAAAATAATTTTGACAGAATGTCACAACTTGAATCACATAACTTAAAGCTATAGAAATAAAAAAAAAAAGCAGAGAATAATCTCAGCATGAATTTTTAGATTAGCTGCTTCATATTTATAGCATACTATTTAATGAAATCATAAAATATTGAAACATCCCATTGACATTTTCTCTAATATTATCTCTAAGTTAATGTGTCTTCACAGTTCTTGATTAGCATTGTCTTATTTGCCTCCAATTTGAAAGTGAGGAGGATGGTTTCTGCATTAGAAGGAAAAACTAGGATATGGGAAATAGGTCCTAAATATTAACACCGTAAGCTTTTAAAGCATATATATGTATGTATTTATTTTTGAAATTCATAAATAGTATAAATCATTCCTTTAAAAATTATCAAACTTATTAAATTCAAGAACACTTACTATTACATTTGTACAGACTTTAAATTTTAAATTCCCAATCTGTATGCATATGTACACCTTCTTTATCCAGATATAAAACATGAGGTAGGTCAGGTGCAGAAGCACATGCCTGTGGTCCCAGCTACTCAGTGATGCTAAGGCAGGAGAATTGCTTGAGCCCAGGCATTCAAAGCCAGCTTGGGTAGCATAGCAAGACTCCCATCTTTAAAGAAAATTTAAAAATTTAAAAAAACACATGTCAGGAAGAAATTTGACAAAAGTCTTGAAAATCATAATTTTAATGTGAACCTTGGAGATTATCTTCACTAGACCTATTATATTACAATTTAGATATCTGAGATCCAAATGTGCAGCAGTTCACTTAAGACCATATAGCAAATTAAGTTACAAAGACAAAAACCAGAGCCCAGGTCTCCCAGTTCCTATTCCTATGTGATTGTGTTTTTCTATAAATTACAGTGCCTCTTAGAAAAAGAGGGTTAGAAGCAACTTGGTAAGGAATATGGGGTGTGTGTGTGTGTGTGTGTGTGTGTGTGTATGTGTGTGTGTATCCTCCACCTAGAGTAGCGCAGCTATCACCCACATGACAGCTTGAAGAGTTTATGTTCTTGTTTGCAGTCACGCCGTATGACTTGTGATGCTCACTCATTCTGTTCTAATTACATTGCTATCTAGTTAATCTTATTTAATATTACTAAACTCTCCTTTCAAACCAATGAATCTCAACCAGCAGCCATTTGTCCCCCTACTGCCCTAGGAGACATTTGGCAATGTCTGGAGAAATTTTTGGTTGAACAATTGGGGAAGAAGAATGAGATGTTAGTGGCATCTAGTGGGTAGAAGCTAGGGATGCTGCTAAACATCCTACAATGGAAGCGCCTCAGTTTATAAATGAGAAAAGGAAGCTCTCTGCAACTGAGCCAGCCTAAAATAAGGATCATGAAGCTAAATCAAGATTGCATTTACATAAGGGAGATGACATAAGGAAATGAAATAAAAGAAATTTACATAAAAGAAAAGACTAACATACTCAAGTTTAAGAGGACGCACTTACACGTATTTTTAAAGTATACTGATAAAATACGTTACTTTTGGAGGATTGTATGTAAATTCTGGAATAAAGTGGAAAGAGAATCTATTTTCATAGGCAGTGTTTTCACTATAGCCAAATAACCACCATAAGCATTCAGAGTAATTTGGTTCCCCTTTAGAAATTAACCTAGATGGCCAGGCACAATGGCTCATGCCTGTAATCCCAGCACTTTGGGAGGCCAAGGCAGGTGGATCACTTGAGGCCAGGAGTTGCCTGCCCAACATGGTGAAACCCTGTGTCTACTAAAAATACAAAAAAAAAAAAAATAGCCAGGAGTGTTGGAGCACGCCTGTAGTCCCAGCTACTCGGAAGGCTGAGGCAGGAGAATCACTTGAACCTGGGAGGTGGAGATTGCAGTGAGCCGAGATCACACCACGGCACTCCAGCCTGGGCGACAGAGCAAGACTCCATCTCAAAAAAAAAAAAAAAAAAGTTAAAGAAAATTAACAGAGACAATCATAATATTGTTATAAACTACTTTACTTATTTAATTTTATTTTTTGGAGACAGTCTCACTCTGTCACCCAGGCTGAAGTACAATGGCGTGATCTCGGTTCACTGCAACCTCTGCCTTCCAGCTTCAAGCAATTCTCGTGCCTCAGCCTACCAAGTAACTGGTACTACAGGAGCGCACCAGCATACCTGGCTAATTTTTCTGGACTTTAGTAGAGAGGGAGTTTCACTATGTTGCCCAGGCTGGTCTCAAATTCGAGCTCAGGCAGTCCTCTGGCCTTGACCTCCCAAAGTGCTAGAATTACAGGTGTGAGCCACCATGCCCGGCCTATAAACTGCTTTACATAAAAGAGAGAGACAGTGAATCACTTCACCTTAATGGTGTATTAGCTAGAGTAATAAAAAAGAACTAATAAAATGTTATCTTGTTGGGATCATATTTTTTTAACTTGGCTACTTTCCCTATTTTATGTGGTTACATTGGGGTTGCCTGCCCTATCTTGGGGTGGGTTTGAAGTATTTTGTTTGATCATATTTGTGGTGGTCTGACTTGTTCTGGATAACAAGCTGGAATGAACTTTATAAAGTCAACAGTAGAAATTGTTTCTTATTTTTCTATGATAAATTCCTCTTTTGAAGTCAAAGATAAGATACATATTTTGTACTGAACCATCAGTGATATTTTCCAAATTTCAAAAATTTGCTAAGTGGAATGGACTATCACAACTGTTTATTATTTTTACATTGTTGATCCAAAATGGAGAAGCGTACATAACCAATTTCATTTTGAGCTTCTGTATAGTTAAAAGGCTATCTCCAATGTGACATTTCTGTCACCTACCATGCAGCTTCTGAAGTACATGCATTGGTTGATAATTAAATGAATGGATGATGTGAAAATTAACTAGTATTAACTAGTATTAAAATTAACTAGTACTAATTTTAACATCATTCATTCATTTAATTATGTACAAGTTTTGTACATTCTCTGCTTAAAATTGTAATCATAAATCAGATAAACTAAGACATGTCTAGCAGGCACAGTGTTGGAGTACTCTACTCTTTTCAAGCTGCTATGTATTGTTTGTTCTAGCTATCACAGTATATTTAGGATTAACAGCTTTGGCAATACAAGATACTTAAAACTAAGTCAAGCATGGTGTCGACATTATCCAAAACTCAGCTGAAGATAAGTGTTGCTTTGCCATCTTTTAACCATAATTGGAGTCGATTCAATGTAGTCTTAACATTTAGCTGAACATCTAGGTTACTTTTGAACAGACATACAGGGCCTTTGAGCATTTTTAACAGTAATTACTATTGCTTCATTTTGAAAAATGTCAACATAGCTTTTGACATTTTGCTATATACCTTTTAACTTTTCTAATTTCCACATTAATACTAATTAATTTTAACATCCTTCATTCATTTAATTGTCAATAAAAATGGAGAGGTATTATTTTGGAGTTGGCAACCAGTTTATAGGTAGATGAAGGAAATTAAGGTGTCTAAGAACACTGAAGTTTCTATATTTGATGATTAGGTAGGTGGCAGTTAGAAATAACAGGAAAAACATCTTTAGACAATACTGACATTTTAAAATGTCACATTTATAGTAGTTTAGTAAAATGAGTAAATTCAGTTTCTAATAATATCAATATCGATAAACAGGAAAATAAATATCCAGCTTGTTTATGAATATGGATGATAGCTAAGTACCGGAGCATATAACTTTAGAATACTAAAACAATTTTAAATTGTATGACTTGCCTGGCACGAAAGGTGATGACAGAGGTTGAATATTAGTTCTCTTGCTTATACCCAACCAAAAGTATAACATATACCTCTTGTGTTTGTCTCCATTTCTTCCAGGGTCCTCAAGGACCGAGAGGTCAACCAGGGCCTCCAGTGAGTTGGTTTTCATTTATATCTGTTTACTATTGATGCTTATATACTTGCCTGGTTTGAGATGTCTACTAAATAAATGTATATTTTTTTAATTTGCTGTGTTCTAGGGTCCACCTGGAGCACCAGGCCCAAGAGTAAGTTTGCTTGGTTTGATTTTATTTTGTTTTATCTTAGTATGTCATGTTAACTTTTTAAATCTTCTTCTGTTAACTCCCTATTAGAAGGTGTCCCTTTTGCATACCTCTGTTCTTTTTTGCTAACCTGATACAGGGCTGGCCCAGCTACACAAACATGAAATCCAAGCCTCAGACTTCTTATTTATAAAATGGAGAGGGTATCTCCTGCTTTCTTGGGTGGTTTCAAGTATTGAGTAAGAAGTAAAGCACGCAACACATTGTATAATACATAATAAGCACTTGAAAAACTAATTACCTCCATTTCTTCCTAATTCTACATCTTCACTCTCCTTTTGTAAATGTTCTCTTTTTGCCAGCCAGAGTTATCCACTTCTTTGATTTACATGAATCTTTCTCAGTTTCTGGTAACTCTCGAAGCCATCAGACTTCTCTTATGTTTGCTTATTATCTAACTACTATGACCCAAAACTTGCTACCCTTATCTCTGAGGCAATGTTTATGTTGCTCCTGCTATTCTCGTGCCCTCTGATATTCTAAGCTTGATTTTCCTTATGCTTTGTATCCATTCTCATATTCCACAGTCTTTTTGTCTTCCTGCTCCCTATGAGAGGTCTGTCTCCATCTGCAACGTCACCCACACCCCGCTCCTCCAGCCTCCTGGTCAAATACAGTAGTCCTTGGGTCATATTTTCTGCCTAGTGTGGATCTACTGTTGGCTACACCATCCTAAACAATGGTCAGTCCTGCGCCTTTTAAGCCTTCTTATTTCACATGCTGCTCTGATGTCATTTAGATCTCTGCTAGTTCTCGGTGGTGGTTTCCTGTGATCTACTCTCAGCAGATCAGAAACTCTTCATTTCCCTCAGCTATTCCTTGGGGCATAGTGCCACAAGGAAGACTATCCCCTTGAAAACAAGAGACACATTTATCTGTGATTTTAAAAAATCACTTCCCCTTTCTGGTCTTCTGACTAATGCAGAGGGAAACTCTCCCTGTGTGAACATCAATAAGAATGTCTTTCGGCCGGGCATGGTGGCTTGCACCTATAATCCCAGCACTGTGGGAGGCTGAAGTGGGTGTATCATCTGAGGTCAGGAGTTTGAGACCAACCTGGCCAACATGGCAAAACCCCAGGCATGGTGGCACATGCCTATAATCCCAGCTACTCAGGAGGTTGAGGCAGGAGAATCGCCTGAGCCCGGGAGGCGGAGGTTGCAGTGAGCCAAGATTGTGCCCCCTCACTCCAGCCTGGCAGAGCAAGACTCCATCTCAAAAAAAAAAAAAAAAAATTCTTTCTTCAAGTCTTCAAATAACTTTCCACTTGTTTATTCTTCCCTTCCTCCTGGATCCCCACAATGCATGGATTACAAGTACCCTCATTAATTGCCTTCCCAAATTATAATAACTTTGATATATCATAGCTCCCTTCTCAAGAAAGAACAAGTTCAAGTTCTAAAGAATCATATGTCATTGGCAAGTTAAAGAAATGTTTAGTGAAAATGTTCACATTTAAGTGCCAAAGTGTGGGACACATATCCCTGTCTCACTTGGAAAATATATGTGTTCCTACACAGCCAAAATAGACTAAGACATGAGAGGTTTTTGCTCAGAGCAAAACGTGGATTAAAATATGTATATACTTTGAGAAATTAGGAAGATTAAGAAGATATATGTGTTGAATACATTATAACTACTCAATAAATGCTGTTTCTTTGTTTCCTTCTTTTCTCCCTTTTCCTCCTTTCTGTATTCCTTCTTGGCCGATATGAAAACAGATTTCCATATATAGTGCTGTTTTCCTGGAACTTGCAGAGTCCACTGTAGGAAAATAACATTGAGAATAAGATTTCTAGAGCAGACGTCTAAATGACAATGAGACGACACCTATGCATTCTTTCTAAAGTCGGCCTCCATGAAACTTTTCTTAATTCCATCCCCTCATCACACTACAAGATAGAACTGATCACTTCCTGTTCTTCATTCGTACTCATTTACTTTCATGTTTGTCTTTTCTATTGTGAACCCTCTGAAGGTAGAGACTACTTTTTAAATTCCCCTTCCATTTAAGCTCTTAATAAATGTTGAGTGCATGCCTGCGTGAATACAAAAAAGGCAACATCTCAGGAAATTTTAGTGGGAATCTTCTAAACTAGATTTCACTTGGAGAGAAACAATATCTATAACGGAATAGATTCATAGAACTAGAGGTCCTCTCAGTAATTATTTAGCAGTTATTTCAGACTTTGAGTTGGGATTCATTGGTCAGTGGATCATAAGACCAATTTAGTGAGTCTCATTCAAGATTATTTTTAGAGCAAATGAAATAGAATAGAAAAAAATATGGGGAGGGACTGCTTAGTAGATATGGATTTTCTTTTGGGAGGTAATAAAAATGCTCTGAAATTCGATCATGGTAATGGTTGCACAACATTGTGAATCTACTAAAGACAACTGAATTGTATACTTTTAAATGGCTAAAATAGTGAATTTTATGTTATATAAATTTTACGTCAATTTTAAAAAACAAAAAAAAAGTCAGCACATCTTCATCAGCAAGAATAAATATGGTTTTACAGAACTTTTTGAGGTTAAATATATGTATGTTTGTCTGAATTTTGTCGTGATGTAAAAATGTATTTCTTACTGTGGGTCAAGATAAGTATGAAAACTTATAATCCAGTCCAGCCACATCTTTATAAGACCTACGAAACTCAAGTAACTTGGTCAGTTCTTTAAAGTGGAATAGCTAAAAGGAAATGTTTCAGGAAAAGTAATATGTATTGATGGTGAATTTGAATGTGAGAATAGGGTAATGACCAGACCTCAGTGTACATGGTAAGATATTTAGAAATGAACACAGAAGTATACAACATGATGTCAAAGTTAACTAGAAGTGATTAGTGGAGTAAAGGGAAGAACACGGTGTCTATGTGTGTCTGTGTTTGGTGTATAGGATGGAAATAACAATCATTAAGAATCATTAAATGAGAGAAAGAATTCCCAACTGATTTATTCCAATTAATGGGTCAATTGTAGAACCTGGATTGATGAATTAAGAAGTGGCAGCTTCTATTATATTCTGGTTCCCTAGAATCAGCAAAAACTCCCATCATAAAAAGGAGTGTGACCTGAAATGAGTTCCTATTTGGTCAGCATTTTCACCATCCAGTGATCTTGAAACTTCAGACATATGAAAAAATAACACTTCTCTTCAAAATACTGAGATGCCTAGACTAGGTATGCTCTTCACTTGAATGATTTGGAGAGAATTGTGAAGATTACATTCTCCCAAAGTATAATGAATCCTGCTGTCTAATTCCCCTCATTATTTCACACTCACGAGTCACAACATATAATCAATCTTTATTCTCTGTTTTCTATTTTACATGCATGTTTTTGTAAACATTGAGTGATTTCCATGTGAGAATATGTTCTAACTAGAATGCCTGGAAGAAGTTATTTTTCCTTTTTTGATCCCCTCACTGCACCTAATGAGAGATTTATACTTCGATGTGGGCACTTAGATGTAACTGAATGACTTCCCAGGCAAATCCTCTTAATACAATTTCTCTGACCGTGCCTTTCTTCAAGTCTGCCTGTGGGGAAAAAAATCAATAAATTCAACAAATTAATTGACTGCTATGTGCCAGTCTTGAGCTAGGCTTTGTGAATACCTTGGGGATTCTAGGAATATGGAGATCGTCAAGAAAAATTTTAGTGGCCAAGTGTTATGAAATTTCTTTTCTTTCTAATACCTGTTCGGGAAGAAAAAATGCCTTTTTATTGAGTTTTCGCTTGCGCTGATGGTGTTTAAAATTGCTGGTACCTTAGCATGACTAAAGCATCAAACTCTACACTACTAATCTACTAATAATCATTGTATTCTTTATTGCCACACACAGAAAATCATAGTCATGTCAATTAAGACTATCCTGTGATTTACTCAGCTTGCCCTCTGTTGATGAGCATTTTTTTTCAATTTTTTATTATGCGTAGTACAAATGTCCTGTCCATATACATATCATTTTGTAGAATACCTAGGGGACAAATTGCCAGAAGTAGGATAGTTTGGTCTAAGGGATAATGAGCATATTTACTTGTTATTTTTAATGTTGGCAAGATATACATAACAAAATTTTACCATTTTAACTATTTTTAAGTTAAAAATAGAGTATAGAGTTCAGTGGTATTAAGTACATTCACATTGTTGTGCAACCATTGCTATCCATGCCTAGGACTTTTTTTGTCTTCCAGAACTGAAGCTTTGTACCCATTAAGTAATAATTCTCAATGCCTCCCTTTCCCCAGCCCCGGCAACCACCGTTCTACTTTCTGTCTCTATGAGTTTGACTACTCTAGGTACCTCATATAAGTTAAGTCATACAATATTTGTCTTTTTGTGACTGACTTACTTCACTTAATGTAATATCTTCAGGGTTCATCTCTGTTGTAAGCTTATAGCAGAATTTTATTTCTTTTCAAAGCCGAATAATAGTCCATTGAATACATATACCAGATTTTGTTTATCCAAATGGACACTTATTTTGCTTCTACCTTTCGGCTATTGTGAATAATGCTGCTATAAACATTAGTGTACAGACATCTGTTGGAGTCTTCACTTTCAATTCATTTGGGTATATACCTAGAAATAAAACTGTTATATCATGTAGTAATTCTATGTCTAATTTTTGAGAAACTGCCATACTGTTTTCTGTAACTGCCACACACTTTACATTACCACCAGCAGTGCACAAGTTTCCAGTTTCTCCACATCCTCACCAACACTTGTTATTTTCCGGTTTATTTTTTCTATAACAGCCATCCTAATGGTTGTGAAGCAGTATCTCATTGTGGTTTTCACATGCATTTTCCTAGTGCTTTGTGGTGTTGAGCACATTTTCGTGTGTTTATTAGACATTTGTATTTTAAAAAATTTTTTTTTGAGGCAGACTTTCTGTGTTGCCCAAGCTGGAGTGCAGTGGTGCGATCTCGGCTCACTGCAACCTCCACCTCCCAGGTTCAAGTGATTCTTCTGCCTCAGCCTCCTGAGTAACTGGGATTACCGGTGCCCTCCACCACGCCTGGCTAATTTTGTATTTTTCGTAGAGCTGGGGTTTCACCATGTTGACCAGGCTGGTCTCGAACTCCTGACCTCAAGTGATCCGCCCGCATTGGCCTCCCAAAGTACTGGAATTACAGGCGTGAGCCACCGTGCCCAGCCTCTTCTTTAGAGAAATATCTATTCAGTTCTTTGCCCATTTTTTGAATTGGATTGCTTTTTTTTTTTTTTTTTTTTGGTTGTTAGTAAGTTGTAGAAGCTCTTTAAATATTCTAGGTATTAATCCTTTACCAGAAAGACAATTTGCAGTTATTTTTTCCCATCCCTTGAGTTGCCTTTTCACTCTCTGTATAGTGTCCTTTGATGCACAGATTTTTTTTATATATATGTAGTCTAATTTATCTACTTTCTTCTCCTGTTGACTGTGCTCTTGCTATCTCTCCAAGAAATCACTGCAAAATTAAATGTTATCAGGCTTTTCCTATTTGCTTGTAATAATTTTTTAGTTTTAGCTCTTATGTTCAAGTCTTTGATTCATTTTGAGTTCATGATATAACTCATGATGTAAGTTTTTTGTACTTGATGTAAGTTAAGGGTTTAACTTCATTCTATCCCATGTGGATATTCCATTTTTCCAGCACTGTTTGTTGAAAAGACCGTTCTTTCCTCATTGAATGAGCTTAGCACTCTTGTTGAAAATAATTTGATCATAAATGAGAAGGTTTATTTCTGGACTCTCTATTCTATTTCATTGGTCTTTATGTCTGTCTTTATGACAGTACCAACTGTTTTGATTACAGCAGCTTTATAGTAAGTTTTGAAATCAGGAAACATGATGCTTCTAACTTCTTTTTCGAAATTACTTTTGGCTACTTGTGGTCTATACTATATATTATATTTACTGTATTGTAACTTTTACTACTGCTCTTTATTTCTTCAGCTGGATTCAAGTTTCTGCCTAGTATCCTTTACTTTAGGCCTGAATGACTCCCTATAATATTTTTCTAGGGAAGGTATGTTAGTGATAAATTGTCTCAGTTTTTATTTAACTGGGAATATATTAATATTTCCTTCATTTTTAAAGGAGAGTTTTACTGGAAATAGAATTCTTGGCTGACAGTCTTTTCTTTTAGCACTCTGAATATATTATCCTACTGCCTGCTCACCTTTATGATTTTTTTATGGGAAATTAGCTGTTAATCTAGTTGAAGATCTCTTGGACATGATGAGCCTCCTCTCTGCTTTCAGAATTCTCTCTTTGTCTATAGAATTGGATAATTTGATTGTGATGTATCTGGGAAAGTTTGTAGAGCTTCTTGGATGTGTAGGTTAATATTTTTGCATCAGATTTGTGATGTTTTCAGCCATTATCTCTTTACATATTCTTTGTACCCCCGTTTCTCTCTCCTTCCCTTCTGAGACTCTCATCATGCATATGCTGGTAAGCTTGACAGTGTCCTACAGATCTCTTAAGTCTCTGTTCATTTTTCTTCATTATTTTTTTCCTCTCCTCAGACAGGATAATCTCAATAAACCTGTCTTCAAGATAACTGGTGCTTACTTCTGCCTATGGAAATCTACTGTAGAACCTATCTAGTAAATTTTTATTTCAGCTATTGTACTGTTTAACTTCAGAATTTCTATTTGATTCTTTTTTCTATAGTTTATGTGCTTTTATTATATTCTCTACTTAGTAAGACACCTTTCTCATACTGTCCTTTAGTTCTAAAGACATGGATTTTTTAACTTGCTAAGAGAGAATTCTGGAAGGTTATTATTCCACCAGTTTTGCTGTCTCCTAGATCTCTTATCTTCTTTAAATATCTTTTTGATATTTTGTATGATGAAATGGAAGAACATATAAAGTACCTATGGTGCACACTGTAGTGATTGCTTTGAAAGCACTGTACAGCTATTTGAGTTGCAAATTCAACTAGCCAGTTTTATCATAGAGTACCATTTTTTATTGACAGACTACCAGTATTATTAAGACATGAGTAGTTTACAGATATTTTCTTGAAAAGGAATGAAGTTAGCCTGTCATTTCAAGGAAAACAACTGACAGAATTTGATGCCAATGATAAATTTCAAGCTCTCAAGCAAAAATAAGAATTAGGGAAAATGTATTTATCACTGAGAATTTAATAGATTCCCAGTACTTATGTTTTCCTGATAAGTAACAAAAAAAAAAAAAAATTATGTTTTCCTGATGATGTTAACAAATGTAATTTCTGACATTAAGTAATGAGCTATATCAGTGTTTGGAAGACCTACATAATTCCATAAATCAGTATTTTCAGAATGATTAATATATGATGTTAATAAAATCATGTATAGGCAAAAGATCTATGAAAGTATAAAATAGACCAATAGATTTTAGTATAAAAGTACAAAATGTTCATTGAGGTGGGTTCAGTTTTCCCATAGAAACTAACCTTTAAGAAACTACCACTTACCAAGTTTTGGTATAAGGTATAATATGATAGAAGAAAATCCATAATTATTTGAAAAAGACAACTTAAATACTTTTCTTTTTTCCTCCTACGTATCTCTATGAGGCTAGATTTTCTTCACAACCAATTGAATACAAAAACAAATATGAGAATTTAGCTGTAATGTATTAATCCAGACATTACAGAAATGCACAAAAATGTAAAACTGGGTCACCCTTCTCATTAATTTTTTTGTTTTGGCAAACATAGTTAATTTTTATGAAAATATTGATATTAACATATAATGGGTTTGTTGACATTTTAAAACAATTGACACATGAATAGTTTTAAAATTTGTTTTGGTTTCTACCATAGTAAATATCAAAAGTTGGCCGGGCAAGGTGGCTCATACCTGTAACCCCAGCACTTTGGGAGGCCAAGGCGGGCGGATCACCTGAGATCAGGAGTTCAAGACCAGCCTGGCCAACATGGTGAAACTCCATGTCTACCAAAAATACAAAAAATACAAAATAGTGTGTTGGCACACACCTGTAGTCACAGCTACTTGGGAGGCTGAGAGGCAGGAGAATCGCTGGAATCCAGGAAGCAGAGGTTGCAGTGAGCCGAGATTGTGCCACTGCACTTCAGCCTGGGTGACAGAGTGAGACTGCAAAGTTATAATTCACATAAAGAAAAACAAAAAATTTGTAAGGCCTCTAATAATAAAGGAATTCTTTATTAAAAGTGCAAAAGGATTCCAATTCTGAAGAGTTTGAGAACCACTATGCTAGATTTTCTAATTAAAACTCTTAATCACCAACAGGGGACCAAGTGAACAACATAAAGGTGGCTTTGGTTCAGCACTTAATTCAGTTTCCCATTTTTAGTGCCAATATTTTTGTGTCACCCATATCCAAAATCTGCTCATTCACATGAGCAGTATGGTCATAATTATTTAATCTGCGGAGAATATTTTAGGTTTAACCTCTTTGCTACTTGAATAATCCATGCTCCTTCTGTCTCGTGGCCTTTGCTTCTTCTGCCTGGAAAGCTCTCCTACCCCTTCTCCTAACAATTCTTATTTATTCTTTGGATATCAGTTCAAATTTTACTACCTCAGGGAAGCCTTCCCTGACCTATTCCTTCCAACCTCTTACATTTTCCAGATTTGATTAATTTCTCTAATTTCTCTCACAGTTTCATGCACTTCTCTTTTATAGCATGTATCTCAATTAGTAATTATGATTTTTGAGATGATTTAATTATTGCCTATCTCCTCTCTAAATTTAAGTTCCATAAGGGCAAGTTTCTTTTTTGTTTACCATTTTCTCCTCAGTGTGTATCACAGTGTTTGGCAGTATATATATGCAGAATGAGTCAATTATTTTCCAATATGAAAAACACATGCTGAAGCAAGGGAGAGCACATTTTATTGATTATTCCATCATTTTAAATAGTTTTTCAAACTACCAACCATGAGCTATGAGCGATCTGTTGAAAACTGTTTCTATTCTATAAGCCTTCAAGTAAAAAGATGTCTTCACAGTACAATGACTCTGAAAGAAATTAAATTGCTTGTTTCACTTACACAGATGCCATTTCCCAGAACCATGCTTCATTGTTCTAAGATAATTTTTTAAAAATAATTACAAAGAAAAGACTTTTACTAATGATTATGCTCAGTCTTTTTCTAAAAATATATTTTATTAAATGCAAGAGGAGATTGATTTCCTTCTGTATTATTTCTTTTGGGACTCATGGTACATTTTCCAACTTCAGAAATTGTTTTTAAAACCACAGAAGTATCAGATTAAATTAATGTGGTGACTACCTCAGGACAGTAGTATTTTATTCTATTCCTTCCAAGAATGTAACTGTTAAAAATTACTACAGTTATTTATTCTTCACTTTACAATTTATTAACTGAGAGGATCATATTTTATTCTCTTCCATTTGAGGAACTTTGTGTGTGTGTTTTCAGGCAACAGGAACAAATAGTTTTTCATTTGAGGACTCTACACTCTGGTCCTACTTTAATTAGGAGACCTTTAGATTTGGATGAAGGTGGCATATTGTCCTTTTAGACAGCCAGGTAATATTTGCAAAATCTGTCTAAGAGTTACAGAACCCCTTCAGATAATAAGTCTGGTATACTTTACAGCAGTGCTTTCAGAATTTGCAGCCTTTACTTTGGAGCACTCAGTGTTGATCTTATTGCTAATCTCAAATGGTTTTGTTTTACACAGAAGCAAATGGATATCAATGCTGCTATTCAAGCCTTGATTGAATCAAATACTGCCCTACAGATGGAGGTAACATATCTGGTTTTATTTATATTGGCACTGTCTCTCAATATACCAATTAAACAGAGAAGTTTTTTGGAGGCCAAAATGTGACATTATCTCAAAGATTGTATTTAAAACAGATTGAAAATGTGAAACCATTTTCAAGAGTGAAGTAAGTGATTTTGGTATAGTTAAGCAGAAATATATGCGTAGGATGTTTTGTAAGGAAAACATTTAAATCAAAAATGTAATACTGTTATTTGTAAGGAATTTGGTACTAGCCAAGAAAGTAGTTAAATGAAGTTAGCCATGTTTCTTAAAATGAGATATATATATTATCACTACTCATTTATTTTATTTAAACTCTAATCATTCAATGTGTAATTTTAAAAACATAATACAGTAGACATAGCAATTCTTATGTTAGCTTGAAAACTAAACTTGCGAATATGAACTTAACTTCTTTAAAATATTAAGGTTAATAAAACATACACATATGCCTATGCTTAAATATAAACTGTTCTTTACATTCTACTCCCAACTTACTACACGTAACGGAAACACATTCTTCTCCTGCCTTGGCCCATGTTGGTCCTCAGGAGTTTTTTGCTTACGTAATTCTTATGATGACTTGGCAGAACTACCAGAATACTGAAGTGACTTTAATTGACCACAGTGAAGAGATATTCAAAACCCTGAACTACCTTAGCAATTTATTGCACAGCATCAAGAATCCTCTTGGCACACGAGATAACCCAGCACGAATCTGCAAAGATTTACTTAACTGTGAACAGAAAGTATCAGATGGTAAGTTCTTGGTTACCTCGAACTCTGATGTCAAATTTCATTTCATCAGTTCAGTGTGTTTGAGATTTGTAATGTGTTCACTCTAAATCATAGTTAGTTTGATAAAACTCTGGCAGAAGCCATTTTAATGTCATCAAGAATAAAATACTCTATGAGGGAGACATGCTTCTAATGTCGTCCACCCCTTGCTATGTCATTTGCTTACATTTTGTTCTTGGAATACAGCATATTCATATTAAAAATTAAGACAGATAGGCCTGACCTTTGCATTAACAGACAGTAGCACCCATCAGAACTCGGTAAGTCAAGACTACCAAAGTTAACAACATAAATAGATATATTAGAGAATCTCCTTCACCATACTCCCTAAAAGTCTAGTTTTGTTTTTAAATACAAAATGGAATTTAAAGGTCCCATTCTAGAATTGATGACCATGAAGATGGGAGTGGTTTGTCATTCTTGGAAGTTTCTCATCTCAACACAGATGCCCCAATTTCATTAGCCAGAGGTGCAAAAATGAATGTAGATTGGAACAATCAAGGCAAGGTTTTAAATCAAGAGGAGTCATCAGTTAAACAGGGGAAACCCTGTCTGCTACAAACTCTAGTTTTAACACAATGACATTTTTGAAAAAAAAAATTATGATTTGAAAAATGCTGATGTGAAAAATGCTGATTTGAAAAAGCTATGTTATGTTATTCTGTGGTCATTTTAATTTTGTTTATACATACACGTCTCACATACCTGCACTCACACACACACAAATGCGCACATACACACATGTCCAAACCATCTGCTTCCGTTCTAGAACTTCAATGAAAACAGTCATTTTGTTTATATTAATAAAACACTTAACTTCTAAAGATATTTTCTGCCCTAGATTAATATAAAAACTAAAATAATACAATTGTAGCTGCCTATAATAATTCTCAGCTTGATTCGTTCCCATATTTGAGGGCATAAAAATATAATTCTGTAGAATTGAAAGGAACAAAGACATTGTAAGATATGCAAAATTAGTATGAAATATAGTTCAAAGTCTACCTTCCTTATAAGAGAAATAACTAAATGGTGTGGATTGTGCAATATTCAAAAAATCTTTATGCCCCCAAATACTTTCATCACTAGAATATGATAAATGCTATAAGGAAAAACAAAACAGTAGGGAAGGGGGACTTGATAGGAAGTGGAGCACAAGATACAATTTTTAAATAGAATGACCAGATAAGGCATCTATGAGAATGTGACATTTGGGTGATATCAGAAGGAGGTAAGAGAGCAAGCCACAAGAAATCTAGAGAAAGCTTTCTAGGCACAAAGAATAAATGCAAAAACCCTGAGTCTTTGAGTATACCTAGCACGTTTTAGAATTAGCAAGAAAGCCAGTATGAATGGAAGAGAATGCATATGGGGGAGAATGTTAGGAAATTTATTAGAAAGATATCAAAAAGTCAGATTATACAGGACCCTCTAGAGTACTCAGAAGTCTCTAATAAGATGGGAAGCCACTGGAAATTGCTGAGCAAAGAAGTGACATAATTTGGCTAAGATTTTTAAAATATTACTCTAGCTAATATGTTGCAAATATAGTGAGGAAGACGGGGTAGAGGTAGAGAAACTACTGAGAAGGATATTGGCATAATCCAGGAGAGATGATGGTTGGTTGGACTAGAGTTGGTTGCCGAGGGAGTGGTAAAAAATGGTTAGATTTTTCAATATGCTTTATTTTAACAAAAATCATTGTTAGCATCCTGGCTAACAGTGGAATAGCATTCCATTATTGGAACGCTAAGCATGTGGGAGTTATTTATATCCTACTGCTTAAAGTCATCACCAAGGTCTGATTGCAAAAATTCAAAAAAATTACAGCCTCAGGAATAAATGGGTTAAGATAGAGCCAGCAGTTTTTGTTGATAGATTGGATGTGGGCTATGAGAGAAATAGAATGGCAAAGGATGACTCTAAGGTGTTTGTTTGTTTGTTTGTTTGTTTGTTTTTACCATAGAAGGGTGGGATATTGTTACCAGGAGATGCAATTTTGGAGAAAAGATCAGGAGTAAAATTTTGGATATATTTACTTTGAGATGTCTCTTAGACATTCAAGTAAGAATGTCAAGTAGGTAGTTGGCTACTCAAGTTGAAGGTCAAGAGGGAGGTCTAAGTAAGGATAAAAATTATGAAATCATTTACATTTAATTGGTATTTAATGCCTTGAAACTGCTTAAGACTACCTACATAGTAAGTAAAGGAAGAAATGAAGTCTAAGCCGGCACGGTGGCTCATGCCTGTAATCCCAGCATTTTGGGAGGCTGAGGTGGGCAGATCACAAGGTCAAGAGATTGAGACCATCCTGGCTAACACAGTGAAACCCCGTTTCTACTAAAACTACAGAAAAATTCGCTGAGTGTGGTAGCACGCACCTGTAGTCCCAGCTACTCAGGAGGCTGAGGCAGGAGAATCACTTGACCCGGGATGCCAAGGTTGCAGTGAACTGAGATCACACCACTGCACTCCAGCCAGGCCACAGAGTGAGAATCCATCTCAAAAAAAAGAAAAGAAAAAAAGAAATGATGTCTAAAAACTAGATCCTAGGGCTCTCTAATGTTTAAAGATCAGAAAGGTGAGGGCGAACTAGCAAAGAAAACAAAGCAGCAGCTATCACTGAGATAAGAGGAAAACTAGATTAATGTGGTGCCCTGAAAATCAAGCAAAGAAAATGTTTGCCAGAGGAGGAGGGAAGGGATTAACTGAGTCAATGTTAAGTGAAGCAAAGACTGAGAAAGACTACTGAATTTAGCAATGCAGACATCATTGAGGAGCTTCAACAAGAGCAGTTTAGAGGAATGGTAGTAGTTAAAACCTTATCAGATTTTAAGAGAAAAGGATAATGCTAGGAACTTTTCATTCCCAGTAATGAAGCAGGTAATTCATATTACCTGGCGAAATTAATTTTTGAAGTTAAAAGCATAAAATAAATAACAAACAGCAATGAACTTTCAAGCTGAGACTTTAAAGGAGACAGCAGAAAGTGAACCCAACGTTTGGAGCTACTTTTGCCCCCAGTATGTTGAGAAGCTTGGTGGCTTCAGGAGGTAGGGGTCAAAAGTTAGAATCTGTGGCCCACCAAAGGTGAGGACTTAGGCTTTCAAAGGCCTGCACTTTAGTAGTAAGGATAAACTGGAAGAAAACGAACATTCATACAGACTGTAGCTTCGCTTCACATCATCTGGATAGCTCAGAAAATCCCGAACTTTGAACCTGTATTAAAATGGTTCCAAACTGCTGGAACCTCCACATACCTGTCAGAAGCAAACAAAAATCTTATATAAAAGATAACATTATCCTAGGACTCAAATTATTTCCACAGGTAATTTCAAAAATGCAGTGTCCAGCACACAATCAATGACAGCCAAACACACAAGTTGACAAAACACCATGAATGAGAACTAGTAGAAACAGCAGACAACAAAAGCAGACTCAAAAGAGAGAAGAAAAGAAGTAGAATTTAAATCTGAAACTATAATGAATAAGATAAGTCTTCTTTCTTTTTTTTTTCTTTCTTTGAGACAGAGTTTCACCCCAGTGCCTAGGTTGGAGTGCAGTGGCTTGATCTCGTCTCACTGCAACCTCCGCCTTCTGGCTTCAAGCAATTCTCCTGCCTCAGCCTCCCAAATAGCTGGGATTACAGGCGCCCACCACCGCACCTAGCTAATTTTTCTTTTTTGTGTGTTTTTTTTTGTTTTGTTTTGTTTTGTTTTTTTGTATTTTTAGTAGAGACAGGATTTCACCGTGTTAGCCAGACTGGTCTTAAACCCCTGACCTCGTGATCTTCCCGCCTCAGCCTCCCAAAGTGCTGGGATTACAGGCATGAGCACCGCACCCAGCCAGCTTTTGATATTTACTATAGTAGAAACCAAAACAAATTTTAAAACTATTCATGTGTCAATTGCTTTAAAATATCAACAAACCCATTATATGTTAATATATTTTTCTAAAACTTAACTATATTTTTCAAAACAAAAAAAATAATAAGAAGGGTGACCCAGTTTTACACTTTTGTGCATTTCTGTAATGTCTGGATTAATAGATTACAGCTAAATTCTCATATTTGTTTTAAGATAAGTCTTCTATAGGAACACAGTTTATTCACTATAATAAGAGAGAAGGCAGGCCAGGTGCCATGGCTCACGCCTGTAATCCCAACACTTTGGGAGACTGAGGTAGATGAATCACTTGAGGCCAACATTTTTTTCAATAAATTTGAGACCAGCCAGGCCAACATGGTGAAGCTTCATCTCTACTAAAAATAGAAAAATTAGCCAGCCGTGGTGGAATGTGCATGTGGTCCCAGCTACCCAGGAGGCTAAGGTGGGAGGATCTCCTGAACCTGCAGGGGGTGGAGGTTACAGTGAGCCAAGATCTTGCCACTGCACTCCATCCTGGGCAACAGAGTGAGAGAGAAATTCCTATTTCAAAAAGAGAGAGAGAGAGAGAAGGTAGAATATATGTGCACAAGCACAGACATGTGGATAGATATGATAGTGGGAGTTGATATAAGTTACATAAATTTTCTTCAGATTCCTTCAGTTGTCTCATTGAAATTGGAAGGTTATGAGTTGAGGATAAGAACGAATGAATAGATATAAGATAGTTAACTATCTTAGTGATAGAGGGAATAAACTCTGGAAACACCATATTACTGTCTGGCAACTTTACAGACACATTTGAATTTGAAGGAGGCCCATCACAACAGTTGTGTTTTTCTCCTACCACTTTTTTTCTGTGCAGGTATAGGCACAGATTAGGGAGAAACTTATGTAGGATTGGGGATTTATAAGACAAGTAGAGTGAAATGAGGCAGGGCAAGGGTGTTAAGGAAGTTCATAAGGACATTACTACAGTAAAGGACTGTAGATTTTTAAGCTGGGTAAGAAGGGAAGTGAACATATGATCATTAGGGACAATGAAAAAGTGATAGTAGGTCCTCATGAAAGTGAAGAATTATTGGAGTTAGGACACCAGAGGGAATGAACTGGAAAGAGAAGAGAAATGAAATTATGGAGGAGATGCAGTTGTTGGTAATAACAAAAGGTAGGATATGGCCTTGGAAGTTAATGGTTAAAGTAAGGTACGAGGGTAGCGGGAGGGTACAAGATCATTGGTGGAAAAGTAAGAGGGTTGGGGAGGATACAGTTCAGAGAACTGAAGGCCAACATATTGAAAGCATCATCTACATGGATTTAAAATCACCAAGAATTAGGTCATAAGGAGATTTTCTGAAAGTGATAATAGGCTAAAACTGTCAAAGAAAAATACTAAATGATTACACCAGGAGGGACTAATGAATGATAGAATGTGATTATAGTAATTTCAGTATGGAGTATTTTCAGGGAGAAAGTGGAAAGAATGGTCTGAAAGTAGCAACGAAGAGCAAGAAAGATGCCTTCCTACCTTCAGGCATAACACTGTGGAGGCTACAAGAGAAGCAGTGTCCTCAGGGAAGAGCTAGTTTTGAGTCAGAACATTTAGGCTCACAAAAGATATATCATGGTGCAGGACTGTATCTCTAACTCAGCATACCTTGAAAGAAATTATGGAGCCCTTATCAGTTCACTATTGTAGAATATAACACCTGAATTCAAAGCATTTCACCCCATATAACAATAAAAATTTGCTTGATGAAAAACCTGTTATAAAGAACTTTTTTATTATTAGCTCATATAGTAGTCAGATAGTATTTCTTGGAAGACAAGAGAAGATGAAAGAAGATATATGTTTACTCCATTAGGTAAGACTGGAAGCCCTCATCAGTTTCTGATGAAAAATTCAGCTGTACTTTCTACAAACTTTATGAAATATTCAGAATTCTGAAGATAAGGGACTAGGAATGGTGGACCTCCTTCACCCCTTTCTTCTGTATTTCAATATATCATTGGTTCTCCAGATGTGATCCTGGGCCAGAATTAGATGCTGTTGACATGCAGATTCTTAAGCCCCACGCCAGACTTAATAAATCAGCAACTGTCAAGGGTAGGGCCCAGCTATGTGTGTTTTAGTGATGGTTTGATGCACACTAAAGTTTGAACACTGCTGCAGCTGAGGACCATTTCTACCCTTTGAGCTACCAATTCAGCCAAGTAAGCATATTGAGGGATTAGTAGAATAGTAGAGGGGAGAATATTTGAGGATGTTTTGGAAGCTAGAGGAAGCTCAGGATGAGCTAGAGGAATCTTTGCTATGGAATAAAAGTGGAATGAACAAAGACTTCTGCCTACTGTAGAAAAAATGACATTTGACAAAAACTGTTGAATTTTCTTGCCTTTTTAATGCAGGGAAACAGGGCTGCCTTATTCAAAAATTCCTGTCCCTTGTATTTGGAATAAGATGCTGTTTTACTATTCTCAGTCTATTAGTCTGGAATTAAGATGCTAGCCCATTGCTTTTCAATCTAAGTATTTTCTCTAGTCTGAGTTTAGGCCCAGTTTTATTCTCTTGGGCGCTCAATGGAGTAAAGACTGGTAGAATTTCACTAGCTATAGGGACTTCAGTTTTTCCCACTGAATGATAAAGTGGGAAAATCTGAAAGAGTACAAAAATGATAAACATTTAATTGTATGGTTTTTTTATGAAAACAAAAATGTTTTCTTATTTTTATTTTACTTATCAGTATTATACATAAAGATATATTTTTCCTTCAAAAGATCGAAGTTGTTTCTATTATAAAACAAAATGTTCATTTGAAACACTGTAATGATGTATAACAGAAATATACAAATATATTTCATTAAGTTTAACTTTTCTATTAACTATGTAACTTTAAACAATTCATTTTTAGTTGCTGAACACATCTTCTTATCTGTAGAGTGAAACAATCAATTCAGCAATTCTATCATTTTGATTAAAATTATGAAACACTCAAATTGATAGTTATGTGAAAAATACAGCATTTTTAGTATCAATTTTACATAATGCTTGTAGCATTCATTCATTCACTAAATGTAAGTATATCATCTTCTATGTTTTTAACAGGTAAGACTGTGATAATATGTATTTAAAGTATCATGATAATTTATAAGGATGTGGCGGGCACAGTGGCTTACGCCTGTAATCCCAACATTTTGGGAGGTCGAAGTGGGCAGATCACTTGAGGTCAGAAGTTCAAGGCCAGCCTGGCCAACATGGTGAAACCCCATCTCTACTGCTAATACAAAAATTAGCTGGGCGTGGTGGCACATTCCTGTAATCCCAGCTACTCAGGAGGTTGAGGCATGAGAATCACTTAAACCCGGGAGGTGGAGGTTACAGTGAGCCAAGATCACACCACTGCACTCCAGCCTGGGTGACAGAGTGAGACTCTCTCTCAAAAAAAAAAAAAAAAAAAAAATTACAAGGATTATGGCATTTAGTAACTTTATGTTTTACTATAAATTATTAGGAAAATACTGGATTGATCCAAATCTCGGCTGTCCTTCAGATGCCATTGAGGTTTTCTGCAATTTCAGTGCTGGTGGCCAGACATGCTTACCTCCTGTCTCTGTAACAAAGGTATGTTACTGAATTTTAAAATATATGTTGTTATATTGCACAGTATCAGTGAAAAGTTATTTTTAAAATTCTATCTCTTTAAATAATTATGAATTTTAAGAATGAAAGCAAAGATTTTTCTCTATTATGTATGAGAAATAAATATGCTATTTTAAAAAACTAGTTAATCACAGTAAATCTTGACATTTTGATTGTGTCTTTTTATGATTTAGTTTAGTTTGGCTTACTCTACTGATCATGTTTTTTAAATTCCTTTTAAAATTGTGCAACATATGCTATGTTTTTATGCATACACACACATTAGAAATTTCTTAAACAGCTGTAGTGTTCGTAACCAGTAATCAGTTACCTGAAGTTTTGCTGAAAATTATATTATAATCATTAAAAAAGAGAATTTTGCCACAAAATCTTGCTATTTGTGGTTATTAGGCACACAATAACCTTTCTTAAACATCCACAGAATACTACTAAAAACTTCTTTCATGAATAATTCTATAAATCAAACGTTTAGAACGAATGCATGTTAGTTTGTTAAACTAACATATAACACTGGGAGTTATAACAAATATTTATAAAACCTAAATCCTAGCTGTACCTATAACATATATTGAAACCAAAACTATGTTTCTTTATTTTTCTGATTAAACCAGCTTGATCTATGATCAAGAATTTCTCATTGACAAAGAACTGATACATGTGCCTATTGTGTGTTTTGTTCATCATAAAAAGACAGCAGATAAAATTCAATCTCTTTAGCTGCTTCTTATTGAACTGCCCTGTCCTCCTAAAACACCTCTCTTCATTAACCAGGGCATTCCATCAATTTATCTTAATAGGCATTCACCATTATCGCCCCGGAAATAAAAGAGGGAAGGATTCTTCCATTCCTAGGGAATCATGAACCTCTAATAAAGAGCAGCATGATAGTCCTACTTCCAAAATATCCATATCATCATCCTCATTCCAATGGAAATTGGCCCAGGATTATCCAGAAGGAAAGAAGATGGGGCTGTGTGAACTGTGCAAAGGAAATAGGAGCAGTGGGGAAGCAGCACTCTAGTTCTTTCCATGACTGAATCACTTCTCCCATTTCTTCGATTCATAAACTCAACCCAAGGAAGACCAGAGAAGTGCTAGGATGAACAGTAGAGTGGGAATCAGGGACTGGGGTTCTAGTCTTTATTCCTCTATTAACCTAGGGAATAAAACTGTGATCCACCAGAGGGCCTGCTCTGTGCCAGGCACAATGCTAGGTAAATTACATTTGTCATTTTTAATCCTCATAACGACCATACCAGATTGGTGTTATACCCCACTTTACTGACAAGGAAATTAAGTCTCAGAAAGCTGAAATATTTTTTGCAAGTTTCTGACTCTTATCTGTAAAATGAAGGAATTGAATTACTTAAATTCTAACGTTCCTTATTATCTTTCCATGTGTATGCCCTTCTTTTGCTTTTCCTCTCATTTCGTTTTTTTCTTTGTTTTTCTTTTTGTTGTTATTTTTCTTCTACATTACCTCATAACTGATATTTTTCTAACCTTATGCTTGAAAATTAGTACAAATTCCTCAGTAGGAACCATTTCTGTTCACTTACATTATGACTGTATCCCTGCTTGAATAATGCTAAAATAATAATAGTAATGTCTGGAGCTATAGGAAGATCTGCCTTTCTGTTCAAGCCTGGGGAATGTGCAGTTTTCTTAACTCAGATACTGTCCTGTATTGTTCATTGTATTAGTTAACACTTGTTTATGAATTTCATTCATTCATTCAATAAATATTTATTAACGATCACTGTGTGAATGAAACTACATTAGGGGCTGGCAACACAAAGAATAGGGTTCTGTCCTTGTCCTTTAAGGCTCTCAAACTTAAAATTACTCAACCAGATTATTGTTACAACTTGTAACTCGTCTTCGGTAACTCTCACCAAAAAAAAATATCAAAGGCAGAGACAGATCTCAGATTTTTATTTAAAAAAGTATTAAAGCATTAACCAAAAGCAAATTATTACTACATTTTATATAATGTGAAAATTATCTTTATTTTATTAATATTATATGTAGTAGCCTGATGATATGAACTGGAACCAGTCCATACAGGCTCAGGAAAGCCAACTGTTAACATTTCTTTCCATTGCCATGTTCAGTGACCTCACCTTGGTAATCTGAATTCAGCCGTGCCTGTAATTCCAGCACTTGGGAGTGCTTCTACCATAGGAGTCAGGAAATACTATAAATCATGGCTTTTCCCCCAAGAACCCGTGGTTAAACATTTACCAGCACACCATTGACTGGCACTTCAGTTCCAAGGAAAAGAGCTTTCTGGAGGCTGCCTTTGAAGGACTTTTCCTCAGATTTTCCTGAACTGTTAAGTTTCTCAATTGCCACATGTTATAACCTGCATATTGTTTCTATGACATTAGTTGGAGTTTGGAGTGGGGAAAGTCCAGATGAACTTCCTTCATTTATTGAGTTTGGAAGCCACCCATATCATCACCATTCACTGTCTAAACACCCCAAGGTGGACAAGCACACAAACAAGTGGCCCAGGATTGCCTATTGGTTTCAAGGGATGGAATGGCCAGATTTTTAAAGTAAATACTCTACTTGAACCTAAAGTGCTTTCAGATGACTGCAAGGTAAGAAAATGGCACTTTTAGAATTGTTCAGTATAACTGACTTAAAAGTGGTAAAACCATAAAATTAGGATAATTAGAGTAAGACTTTAATTACAAACTGCAGATACAGAAGGGTAGTAAGTTTTAATGTGCCTGACTTGTAACTGCATTTTTTAGAATCAATCATTTGTTTATATCATACCTTATCAACTTGTGTCATACCAATTGGTCTTAGATTTTTACATGCAAAACAGGTGTTAATATGTAAATTTAATTTTTATTCCCTATGTGAAATAATTATACCTGGATAGATGGATAGATAGACAGACAGATAGATAAATGATAAATAGATAGTGTATTTGGATAAATATTTTCATGTGTTTTCACTGCTGTAATTCTACATCTCGTTATTGCATAAAAAGCAAGTTATAGAGGCAAGTAAGTTTTATTTCATTGTGTCAATCCCTGTACCTGATACCAAATATGGGTATAATTACATATTGACTGGCCCCACCAGTAAGTATTTGGTTGTAGCCTATTTTTTTTCCATTAAAACTAAATAATGGGGCCAGGCGTGATGGCTCATGCCTGTAATCCTAGCACTTTGGGAGGCCTAGGCAGTCAGATCACTTGAAGTCAAGAATTCAAGACCAGCCTGGCCAACGTGGTGAAACCCAGTCTCTAGTAAAAATATAAAAAATAGCCAGGCATGGTGGCAGGTACCTGTGATCCCAGCTACTTGGGAGACTGAGGCAGAAGTTGCATTGAGCCAAGATCACACCACTGCATTCCAGCCTGGGCGACAGAGTAAGACTCTGTCTCAAAAAAAAAAAAAAAAAAAGTAAATTAAATTAAATAATGGGGCTGGGTACTGTGGGGCACATCTGTAATCCCAGCACTTAGGGAGGCTGAGGTGGGTGGCTCACTTGAGGCCAAGAGTTTGAGACCAGCCTGGCCAACATAGAGAAACTCCATCTCTACTAAAAATACAAAAATTAGCCAGGCATGGTGGCACACGCCTATAATCCCAGCTACTCAGGAGGCTGAGCCGCAAGAATTGCTTGAACCTGGGAGGGAGAGGCTGCAGTGAGCCAAGATTGTGCCACAGCACTCCAGCCTGGGCGACAGAGCGAGACTCCTTCTCAAAAAAAAATAAGACTTAATGAGTGAATCTAATGGTATTTTGTTATCATACCAAGCTTATGACTTTAGACAAGTAATTTATTTTCAATGAGCTTCAATTGCCTTAACTTTAAAATAAAATTTATAGCTTAATCTCTGAAGTTCCTTCAAAATTTAAAATTTCTATCATGATAATTCTGTGAATAAGTGAATTAGCTCCTAAATAACAGCTCCACAAAACTCATCAATTGTGTTTCTCTGTTGTGTCTGGTTGAATCTTAATCATCGGATATTTTATGATATGTTTTTGTTCCATAGAATTTATTAGAAACAGAAGAGCATATACTAATAAGAGAAACAGAAAGCCATGGAAGGAAGAGAAGAAAGAGGGAAACTGTATAAATAGAGAGCTACAGAATGGGGCAGAAAAAAGAAACCTAGAAGATGATTGCACATAATTATAATTTTAATTATTTCTGACTGAGGTGATTCTGTTTATTTTCTACCTAAAATGCAGAGGTTGAAATAGCTCGTTCCCTTTTATCAAAGAAAAATATCCATCCTGAAGAATCAGTCCCAAATAAAGGAATACAGAACAGATGGTTATTACTCGTGTTAGGAATATTGCAGTCTTTTAATTCATATCTGGTCCAATGATTCACAGAGAGTTGAAGCAGAAGCCTGGCCTTAGCCTCTGGAAGTGAAAAATTAGAACACACAATGCCATCCTAAAGAAAGGAATAAACCCAGGTTTTCAATTAATAGTAGTAATTTTACCATTTATTGAGCATTGTTCTAGGCACTTTCCATTCATTATCTCTAATTCTTAAAACAAGTTCACATTATCTGTGAAAGGCATTGTCTACTGAAAGTGACTGCTAATGAAATGCATATGAAAGCATTTTGTTCTTATTTTACAGATTCAAGATGGCAGCTGGCATAAGGCAACATTTCTTTTTCACACCCAGGAACCTAATCAACTTCCAGTGATTGAAGTACAAAAACTTCCTCATCTCAAAACTGAACGAAAGTATTACATTGAAAGCAGTTCTGTATGCTTTCTGTAAAGTCTCTGAATGAGTTCCGAAATCAGGCTATTGGCCAGATAATTGCTGCAGAGGGAGAAATGAGACAGAAAGATACTGACATTATGAAATGCATGTAATAAAGCATTGGCTAAATCTTAAAGAATCTCAGGAAGAACAGACTTCCTCCTAAGAAGGAGAAAAGGCATTTTTAAAGGACTATGATTGATAAAGTATTTAATTCTTTTAAAAATTATATTGATCTCAGCTTTTTTAGAGAATTCCCTAGAACTAAAAATGTATAAATATGGAATTCTTCAGGGTATCTTTTATTTTTGACTGAGTGCATAGTACCCATTAGACAGCTGGAGATGCAGAGCACTATGGAGCAATACTGGCTAATGCTTCCAAATGTGCACTGCTTCTGTCTAAAAATTACAAGCCACAGTCTAATATGCCTTATTTTCCAAAACACTAAGCTGTATTCAGGTCCCTGATGGGCATATACATCTTAGCCGGTGATACACTACCTCTTACGTGTTGCCTCTTTGTGTTGCTTGGTGCTCTTTCGAAAACAAGGTGCTTATGGCTTTCATAGACTATTTCCTTTTTCATCTTTACCACTCTTTAAAAGTGTATGTACTGGTTACATCAAGATATGTTTTGGTTGTTAGTACTTATTTTAAATTGTTTGGTCACACACTTAATAACACGTAAAACTATTTATGTGAAGTCCTTGTTTTATTTTAAAATTCTCTTTGTGTATATGGAATCAAAGCCAGCACATTGTAACCTGTGCTTGTACACAAAAGAATTGGGAGATTTCTTTGTTTTTATTTTTTAAATTGTTGTAAAAATTATTATAGGCCAGCTACATCTAGTAGTAGGTTTGGGGTAGAGATTGGGGGTTGTGCCATACTGTTTTTAAAGTTCACGATCATCTGGAATGATACTTTGTATATATATATTTTGTAAAGTTTTAGTTCAGCAAATTTTTTTAAATTGCTGCTGTTTTAAATTATAAAAACTTTATATTTCTGCTTTGTAGAAATTATATGTTTTTGTAGTATTCATTGATTTTCTTTCACTGTACTTAAATCTAGTGTTAGTACTTAAAAAAATTTAATTTACCAGTCTTTAAAGCAACATCCAGGGAAAAAAAGTCTTTTCCCATTTAAAATAGGCTCAGCCAGTTCAATGTCTCCTTGTTATCAGAGAAATGTTAGTTCAATATTGAAAGAAAAATATTATACCTCTTGGTATCTAGAAAAGCTTGTTCATCCATTATAAATATATCTTTAGCCACAGCAAACCACACTTAACCTATCTATAATAAAAATGTGCTTTAAATCATTTTGGGTGGTATTTGTTTTTCCTCTTTTGTTGCAATATGCTTTTATTATTTATAATAGCCCATCTGGCATAGCCTTTCTGTGTTATGTATATCTATATTGTTAAGAAGTATCTTTTATATACCTGCAAAAGGATTATAGGACCTATTTCCATGACAAAAATAAATTCTCACTTACATGATCAAATGACTTTCAACAAGTGTGCCAATACCATTCAATGGAGAAAGGACAGTCTTTTCAACAAATGGTTCTGGGAAAACTGGATAGCCACATGCCACAGAATGATGTTGAACCCTTACCTTATATTACATACAAAAAGTAACTGAAAATGGGAGCAAATATCTAAACAAAAGAGCTAAAACTATAAAACTCTTAGAAGAACACATAGGAGAAAATCCTTCATGACATTGGATTTGGCAATGATTTCTTGGAATGACACCGAAAGCACAGTCAACAAGAGAAAAAAATAGATAAATTGAACTCTCTGAATATTAAAAATTCTCTGTGCATCAAAGAACACTATGAAGAAAATGAAGAAGCAGCCCAAGGAATATGATAAAATATTTGCAAACCATATATCTGATAAGGGATTAATATCCAGAGTATATAAAGAACTCCAGTGACTCGACAGTAGAAGAACCAGCAACCCAGTTTAAAGAATGGGCAAAGGACTTGAATAAACATTTCTCCAAAGATATAGAAATGGCCAATGAATAAAAAGATTCTGGCTGGGCACAATGGTTCATGCCTGTAATCCCAACACTTTGGGAGGTTGAGGTGTGAGGATTGCTTGAGTCCAGCAGTTCAAGACCAGCCTGGGAAACATAGACATGATCTCTACAAAAAAATTTTCTAAAAATTAGCCAGGAGTGGTGGCACACATTTGTAGTCCTAGCTATTTAGGAGGCTGAAGCAGGAGCATCACTTGAGCCCAGGAAGCTGAAGTTGTGGTGAGCCATGATCACACCACTGCATTCTAGCCTGGGTGACAGAGTAAGACCCTGTCTCAAAAAAAAAAAAAAGGAAAGAGAAGAGAAAATGCCCCCAAATCAATAGTCGTTGGGTAAATGCAAATCAAAACCACCAGGAGGTACCAATTCTGTGGTATAATGCAAAACTATATTTGCATTATCTCTGGCTCCTGGCACAGGATTCCTAAGACTCTTGGAATTTTCTAAGTGAAAGGAGTGTCTTTTGTTATTTATAATGAACTCTTTTCAATAACACCTGAGTTTATGTTAATAAGGTTTTTTTAGAGTGGGGCCCCTAATGAGCCTCAGGATGGAGCTGGTCCCCAGAAAGACCAAGTAGTTAGAGGATTGAGACTTTCAATCCCACCTACTGACCCCTGGGATGAGGGGAGGGCAGGCCCTGGAGATGGAGCTCTGTAAAAATTCTTGAACAGTGAGATTTAGAGAGTTTTCTGTTTGGTGAACACATTAACTTGCTGGGAAGGTGATATGCCCAGTAGGGCATGGGAGCTCTGCACTACACTCCCCGTACTTTGCCCTGTGCATCTCTTTCAATGGGCTGTTCCTAAGTTATAATAAACTAGTAAACACAAGTACTAGTAATAATAAACTAGTAAACATAAATAAAGTGTTTCCCTGAGTTCTGTAAGTCATTCTAGCAAACTGTTGAACATGAGGGCGGCGTCATGGGAACCTACCACTTGTAGTTCATTGGTCAGAATTACAGATGGCCTCGGACTTGCAATTGGCATCTGAAGTGGGTACTGAACCCATTTATCTGTGGAATCTGATGCTAATTTCAGGCAGTGTCAGAATTGACTTTAATTGTTGGACATCCAAATTGGTGTCTGAAGAACTGGAGAACTGGTTGTTAGTTTTGGAAAGCACCCCAGAACTTTACTTCCATTAGATGGCTATTTTAAAAACAAAAGGAAAATAACAAGTGTTCTCAAAGATGAGGAAAATTGAAAGCCCTGTGCATAGCTGGTGGGAATGTAAAATGGTACAACAATTGCACAGAATAGTTTGGTGGTTAAATAACTTTTTAAAAAGTTGTGTGTGTGGGTGTATCTATGTATATGTATATATCTATGTATGTATAAAGCTATATATACATCTAGGTATATACCCAAAACAATTGAAAGCAGGGATTCAAATAAATACTTGTATATCAGTGTTTATGGGAAGCATTATTACAATAGCCAAAAGGGATAAAAAACCCAAATGTCGATAAATAGATGAACAGATAAACAAAATGTGGTATATACATATAATAGAATGTTATTCAGCCTTCAAAAGGAATGAAATTCTGTTATATGTTACAACATGGATGAACCTTGAAAATATTATGCTAAGTGAAATAAGCCAGACACAAAAGGACAAGTAGTGTCTGATTCCACTTATATGAGGTACCAAGAATAGACAAATTCATACAGACAAAAAGTATAATAGAGGTTACCAGAGGCCAGAGGAAGTGGGAATGAGATGGGAACTATCCTTTTTTTAATGAGTGCAGAGTTTTTGTGTGGAATGACAATGTTTTGGAGATAGACAATGATGATGGTTGCATAACAATGTTAATGTACTTATTGCTACTGAATAATATGCTTTAAAATGATTAAAACAGTCAATTTTATGTTATGCATATTTTACCACAATTTTAAAAAATAGGGCCTTGGCAAAGATGTCTGTTTTTTCATTTGAAAAAGATAAAAATGGTTTTAAAATGAGCACAAAGGTTGAGTGTAAACTAAAGAAACCATATCCTACAATCTAGTTTCAGTCTACATGCTATACATTCTCTTCCAAAAAAATAATAATAACTCAGTTTGGACTTACATGATTTTTCTAGAGATCATTTAAGAAACATATAGAGGACAGAAATGCCTTGCTTTATGTTTTAAATGTGTTCCTAAAATATCAAATTTAAAGCAAATTTCAATCAACTTAATCATAGGCAGTATAGTAGTTAGAAGTGCTCTGAGAATTCACTGTGTGATTTGGGGTGTATCATTGTAGGTTCATTGTCTCAGTTTCTTCTCTGTAAAATAGGGATAATAAAAATGCTTATCTCATTTGGTTGTTGAGTGGATTCAAAAAAGGAGAAATGCTTAAAACAGTGTCTGGCACAAAGTAATCACCATAAACATTAGTTGTTGCTATTTATTGCCATCATCATCATCATCATCGTTAAAGATTTAATAGTTCTATGATCATTATCACCAAAGAAGTTTGTGCTAAATCCCTTAATAAAATTATTCATCTTCTTTAAAGTCATGCTATCCCCATATTTTGTTGTATAAATATAGATTTTTATATATTATAATTACTATTTATTAAATATAAAGACTTTCTAAAAATGAAGTGCAGCATGTAATATATATAATTAAGAAAGGTGTTTTGCTTTTCTCCCCATTTTTATGTATTAATGTAAAAATTACAGTGGTTTGGCTGGGCACGGTAGCTCATGCCTGTAATCCCAGCACTTTGGGAGGCCGAGGCTGGCAGATCACCTGAGGTTGGGGGTTCCAGACTAGCCTGACCAACATGGAGAAACCCTGTCTCTACTAAAAATGCAAAAAATTAGCCGGGCATGGTGGCATATGCCTGTAATCCCAGCTACTCGGGAGGCTGAGGCAGAAGAATCACTTGAACCCAGGAGGCGAAGGTTGCAGTGAACCGAAATTGCACATTGCACTCCAACCTGGATGAAAAGAGTGAAACTCTGTCTCAAAAAAAAAGAAAAAAAAAATTACAGTGGTTATTACAAAATAAATATCATGGACATTTTCTGTAATATGAAACCATAGCAAACGGAATATTGAACTTAGAGGCAGAAAACATGAATTAAGTTTCAACTCTCCCATTTATTGGTTTGCAGTACTTGGGTAAGTGACTAATTCTCTGTTATTATCTGTATTGGAATAGAGAGAGTAGGTAGGTATATAGAGTTTGTGTGTGTGTGTGTGTGTGTGTGTATGTGTGTGTTTTCTTTTTTGTCTATATTAGGAAGTGTGTTTTTGGTCTGCTTGTCCTATCAATTACATGAGAGAAGGGTGTTGAAATCTCCAACCATAACTGGGTTTGCCTGTTTCTCACTTTTTCTTGCTTATACTTGTAATTAGTTGCATTCAAATTCACAGTTGTTATATCCTATAATGTTCTGGCCAATGTTTAACAGCCAGCTCACTAAGAGGGAAGAAAGAGACAATCCCTAATTTGTTAGCATTTGCCCATTTCCATGGTGTAAATACTTGTACCATGGCTGATTTCAAGCTACAAATAGATTACAGAACATGAAGATAGGAAGAGATAACATGTTGGGTCTAAGAAGCTGGTCCAAGTTGGCTTTAGCCCACCATTGGTATATCATCCTGTTAGAATGATTATTCTATCATTATGAAATATCCCTTTTCTGCTTATTACCTTAATGTTTACTTTTTCTATTGTTTGTATAATTATACCAGTTTTCTTTTGGTTAGTGTCTGCATGGCATATCTTTGTCCATCCTTTTATTTTTAATCTTTCTGCATCCTTACCTTTATTGTGTTTCTTGTAAGCAGCATGTCATTGTATTTTTATTTGTAATCAACGTTGGCACCTTTAGACTTATTTAGGGTATTTGGTCTGTTTACATTTAATGTAATTACTGTTACATTTACATTTAAACCTGTTCTCTTACTATTACTGTGTATTTATCTCATCTCTGATTTGTTTCCTCTTTCCTCCTTTCTTGCCCTCCTTTTGAGTGGTAAAATATTTTTTTCTATATTTCCTCTTTTAGCTACTAGCCATACATTATTTTTATTTCCTTTTAGTGGCTACCCTAGAGACTACAGTGGTCACCTTCATATCCTTGACTTTATAGAGGCTGTATAAATTAATACTTTTCGTGATGGCTCATGCCTGTAATCCCAGCACTTTGGGAGGTCGAGGCAGGTGGATCCTTTGAGGTCAGGAGTTCAAGACTAGCCTGGCCAACATGGTGAAACCCTGTCTCTACTAAAAATACAAAAAAAAAATTAGCC